CACCGAACCGGGTTGGGATCGTGTGCCACCATGGCCCAGAATCCTTTGACAGCTGTGATCAACTTGGGTCACGCGAATGGCACTGTCACCATGTGGACACCCAACTTGTCCACACCTGCCTTGAAGATGCTTGCTCACCATGGTCCTGTGACAGGACTCTCTGTGGATGCCCATCGTGCTGGACGAGAGATGGTAACCAGCGGTCTTGACGGCACCATCAAGGTTTGGGACACCCGTATGCTAGGCCGTGGTCCACGCCGTGAGTGGGTATCGCGGCGTGCCGCTTCTGATGTCCAGTATTCCCAACGCGGTCTATTGGGTGTGGCCTGGGGCAACCATGTGAGCCTGTACAATACCGAGGCAGAGCTGGGGAATGCGCCTCCTGGACCGTATCTGACGCATGGCATGCCACAGTGCGCACCTCTACAGCTTCGATTCTGTCCATTCGAGGATGTGCTTGGTGTGGGCCATGCTAATGGCTTCACAAGCTTGTTGGTCCCCGGTGCAGGTGAGCCGAACTTTGACACAAGCGAGGCGGATCCGTTCGAGACCAAGACTCGACGCCGCGAACGCGAAGTGCACAGTTTGCTGGACAAGATCCAGCCGGATATGATCACTCTGGACCCAGATTCGATGGGCCAACTCGATACGCGTGCATCCCACGAAGCGCAATCTGTTGCCGCATCCATTTCAAACTCCAGTTCGGTGCCAAAGGCGGCTGATGGCACGCCGTACTCACGCTTGTCTCGAGCACAGCGTCTCAAACTTGATGGCACTTTGGATGACGAAGCGTCGGCACTTCCAGAGGAAAACGAGGACGATGCTGCTCCTGCCACGGCTGCCAAGGGCGTCAAGAAGGAGAAGAACAAGGCTCGGGGGCGCAACAGTGCTATGAAGAAGTACTTGCGCAAGAAGCGTCAGAACGTGGTGGATGCCAACACGATTGCACTTCGTGAAAAGTACCAGCGGGAGAAGGCCCGGCGTCGTAAGGAACAAGCCACGCCCTCACCACCCAGGGAGCCCAGTGCTTTGGATGTGTTTGCTCGAGTCAAGGGCCCCCGCAGCTAAGGTAGACCAATTGAACCATACCATAACATAACGTATCAACTACAGAAGATATGTCCACATAACAATGAAGAGGACCAAATACAGCACAACAAGACCTGTGATGTAGGGCCCCGAGAGAGGTGCGATCTTGCGCTGCGCGTTCCGTAGCGCCTCCAATTCCGCGTCGGTCAGATTCGTCTGACCCGCCTTGGCAATGACTTGTTCGTAGCCACGAATCGGTGCCTCCATAGCATCCCACCATGTCTTATTCGAGGCATATTCCTGAGCACGCTGACCCATCGTCGCCCGTAATGTACGGTCGCGAATGAGTCGTTCAAGGAGAATACTGTAAGCTTGGGCACATTGCTGGAACGAGCGCGTGTTGGCGCTCATAATCGAAGCAAACTCTTTCACAGACGGCATGGGCGTAGGAAGGCCCGGCTTGAGGTTGCCCGAGGCCGCTTCAGGGACAGCGCGTCCACTGGATGTCGACAGAGATGTCTGCTCGCTCTGCGCATCGGATTCACCGAGACGCTTCCTTAGTGTGTTTTGGCGCTGTGGCACCGATGTGGCTGCCTCCGACACGGGCGCCGAACGAACGTTGCCGCCACTGATAGCTCGCAATGTATCGAGAAGCAGACCAGTGGTACCGTGACACACGAGATCCGAGGTGCCTTCCGCATGCAGACCCACGACAGGCAATCCAGAGGCCAACGCCTCCAGAACCACTTGACCGAACGTCTCGGTGAACGAGGGGAAAGCAAAAATGCTGCTGCTTGCGTACATAGATGCAAGTCGCTTGCCCTTTTGGTGGCCCATGAACGAGGCGTCCAGACCATACTTCTGGCACAGACGCGTGAGCTCTGCGCGAGCTGGGCCATCACCCACAATCACCAGCTTGGCGTTGTTCTTCACACTCTGAGGCAGCAAGTGGAATGCTTCCACAAGCAGCCGAATGTTCTTTTCCCAGCTGATGCGGCCCACAAACAGCACCACAGCCTTGCTGTCACTGTCCACAGCGTTCGATGCCGATGTCTCAACCTGGCTGACAGGTCCATCGAGCAACGCAGGTGGGAGCGCAAAGTTCGTGCCGGGCAACGGGGGCACATCACAGACACTTTCGTACGCTGGTGGCGGGCTAAGCTCCGACATGGGAATCGTATCGGGGGTGCGGATGAAAGCATCCTCGGGAGACAGCCCCTTGTTGCGTTCCAACGAGGAGATGGCCTGGTCATGGAGCGCATTCAGAAGCGCTTGTGACTTGGGTTTGCAGCCCCAGCTCTCACGCAGATTCTCATCGCGCGCCGTCGGGGTGAAGATATCCACATCGACACCGCGACCCCAAATCTCGACGTTGTTAAATCCACGCGCGCGCAGCATCCGACGTGTGCTCTCACTCGGGCAAAACACCATGGCACATTGGTTATGAAGAATGCGAGTAACCTCCCACATACCGGGCTCCAGGAAAGCACATCCAAAGAGAGATGCATAGGTAGGAAGGTTGGTGTGGTACGAAGACACGCGCGGCACATTCGGCAAAAAGAGCTTGCACAACGGGATCATCTGTGCACCGAGCCAAATAGGGTCAACAAAGTGAATAATGTCGGGACGGAACTGCTGCAAGCGACGGATAAAGCGAAGCCGCGCAAAGTTAAGCTTCAAACCAGGATACACGATAAGCGGAATACCAAACGTGCCCACCACGGGGTGGCCCAAGTATTCCTTTAGACCAGTATCAGGACCCATAACAATAGCCTCATGGCCTTCATTATGCATGTGCTCCAAGAGCCTTCCCAATGTGCGGGTGACACCATCGATTTTCGGAAGGAAGTTTTCTTATCTGTGAGTCGTGCTTCAACATACCCGTTACGATTGCCACACGCAGCTTGCGGCGCTTCCGATCGATAGGATATGGGTAGGACACAGCGTCCAGAATCGGATCAGCCTGAATCCCAATCATGATAGGCTCCCTGGACAAGGGCAGACAATACCAACAGTTGCAGTGAAGAACGCCGTAGACGGTCGTAGAGGGCTCCTAAGTCGTTGAGGCACCTAGCCGATGAACGTGCACACGCCGCGAGGCTCGCTTACTTAACACACGGTGCCACTGTGCACGTGTGGGGGGCACGTTGTGCCAAGTCAGATGACTTGGGTCTGTTGGGGTCAAGTGGAGTGTCAAGGCGCCTCCATCAACGTGAGACGCGTCGTGCAGATCGGATGGATTTCACATCCACCTACGCCCATGCATTGTGGGACAGCGTGCTATTCTCACCGGGATCTACATTTCTTGCATGTGTCTCTGGGAAAGATAGACGCCAAGTGCTGGTGCGCGTGACAGGGACCATGCAGGTTGTGCGCTCCTGGGTGTTGGACGCGTCCCTCGACGCTTTGTCATGGTCCAGCGACGGCCTCTTTCTCCTAGCAAGCTCAAAGAGCAAAGAGGATGCATTGCAAGCGAATGAAGGTGTCTCCTATGTCCTACCTCTTGATCCAGATGCCGCTGTTACGGACGGCTCGGATGATAATCTTGGCTGGGTCGCGCGTGTTGCAGCTGGCGTTCAAGGCCTTGCCCATGCTGCGTGGATTCCCTTGAAACGAATTCCAGCTTTTATACAATTTTCCTGGTTTGAAGGAAGTGCTGTCATTTATTCCCTCGCTGATCAAGCTTTCACGATTTTGCCTCGAGCCATTCTTTCTCAAGTCTATACCAACAGTAACTGGCCCGAGCATTTTATTGTTGCACAGCGGGATAAGGAGCAAGATCGTCTCATTGTATTCCGACCTGCTCTTCCCGATGCAACTACGTTGGATGACCCCGTTGTTTGGGAGTCTCAGCAAGCGATTTCTTTGCCTACTCATGCTGTGGCAGGTGTTGCATGGAGCCCTGACGGCAACTTTCTTGCTGCCTGGGATACGGCTTTGGAATACAAACTATCGATTCACACAATCCATGGCGCTCATTTGGCTACTTTCACTTTGAACGAAGGTGGCCTTCCACACACAGAGACCTCCATGTTCAAAACGGATGTTCAGCAAGCGCTCTCTCCCTCAACCTCGACGGGACGTGCGCGTCGTGTCACCATTCGACCCAGACAGCCCTCTGTTCGTATATCCAGTCATTCTTCGCACAATGTTGTACCCACGCAACGCATTGCAGGCGGCGGATTGGGTATACGCCAGGTCGCGTGGCATCCTTCCAGTGAATTTCTCGCTGTCGGTGGCTATGATGAGCAAGTGCATGTACTACACCACGCAGATTGGTCGATGGTATATTCCCTTGACTTTAGTGTCTCTGCGTTACGGTCCATGGACGAAGCGCCTCAGGTATGGCTGGAGCCGCATCGCTGGTTCGAAGCGACTCGAGGCCAAGGTATCGTTCCTTTGGAGACGTCGACCTTTCCTATCGACGTGCCAACGATTCGTACAGAAGATGCTGCGAGCCCTTTTCAAAATGGAATCAGTTGGATGCAGTGGAACCAAGATGGCACGTTATTGGCGTGTACCAACCAGAATCTGCCCACTGTTCTCTTTGTCCATGAATTCGTGGGCTGGATGGAACGCGACGTGCATGCCTACTTGCGTCCCCTGGCCATGCTGGTATTCTCTCACCCTGTGGTATGCACATCATGGAAACCCGGAGATACGGCAAGCTTAGCTATTGCAACGGGCCAACAGGCTGTATTTTTGTGGACGAGCCCTGGGGGGGCCGGCGATCATGCTCTTCAAATGGCTGAAGCTGTGGCGATCCCTAATGACACGTTTTCTGCTCAGCGCCTTACTTGGTCTCCTGATGGACAGACTCTTGCTCTTATGGATTCTCAGTCATTCTGCTGCGTGGTACCAGCACCGCCAGAGGACACACAGCAGGAGGGGTCCGAGCGTAACGTGGCTGGCCCATCTGATTCTATGAGATCTAGCTAAAGAATACCAAAATCTGCGAATCTCGCATGATTGGGCGCGTGGTGGAGTGGTTACCACGTCCGCTTTGCATCTGAGGATAGCGGTAGGTCGCGGGTTCAAATCCCGTCGTGTCCACTTTTTGTCACGTGTATGTATCTAGGCCCGCAGCGGTCTTGCTCCCCAGCGTCGGCCCACATTGTCGACTTTGCTTTTTTCCGTCATCTCGAATGTACGCAGATCGGGAGGAGGCGCTACGAAAGTCGCTAGCGTCTGACAACTCTTCGGCAGCTATGAACCCAGCTGAGAGAGAGCGATACTTGCAAGAAGAGCTTCGTCGTCGTGCCGTCGACTCGCGCCGTCGTGAGACGCGCGATGAGCCGCCACCTCATGACTCTGTTGGCTCTACGTACAATTACAGGCACACGTATAGGCGCCGCGGAGATGATCCGACGTATGAAGAGGATCGTCCTCGATGGCGCGAGGATTCATCGCGCGAATATGGCCGACCATCGTACGATGACGCACCCCCTCCTTACCGCCGCCGTGGTGGCAGCGGGCGACGCAATGATTACGGAGGAGGAGGCTATCCGCGTCGTCGTAGCCGCAGTCCCTCATGGTCTCGTCATGGTCCTGGGGCTTCTCAGCCTGAATACGAACAGCGTTCCGTTTTCTGCAGCGAGCTGGACTCGCATGTGGCCCAACGCGACTTGGGCGAGTTTTTCGAGGAGCATTTGGGTTGCGATACTGTGCTGGATGTGCGGATCGAAGTGGATTTAAAGACTGGACTCACGAAAGGCATCGGATACGTCGAGTTGGCACGGCCAGATCTTGTGCCGATGGCCGTGGATCTAACAGGAAAACGCATGTTTGGCGCACCCATCGTCGTCCAGCGAGCAGAAGTGGCGCCGAAAAACTATGCTGTGCAGCTGTATGAGCCTCCTCGCTCTGCGGGACCGTCGTCACACGCGCCTGTATCCATGTCTGCCCCGACAGGCCCCATCCTGCCGCCGTCGCATGCCATCCCAGGCGCACCGGGTGGTCCACCTGGATCTTCCAACCCAGAAGCGCGTTTGTATGTGGGAAATTTGCATTTCGATATTGGCGCACCTCATGTGCGTGCAGTGTTTGAGCCATTTGGCCAGATCGATGATGTGGAAGTGAATATGAACCCTATGACAGGGAAGAACAAGGGATTTGCATTTGTGCAGTTCCGACGCGCAGAGGAAGCGCAGCAAGCGATCGAGCAACTGAATGGTTTCGAGCTGGCAGGTCGCGCCATGAAAGTGGGACTGGCTGGCGCTCGGGGAGGTGGCCATCCCGATTATGCTGCTCCCCATGAGTCTCACCATGAATATGCTCGCGATCCCGCGCGCCAAGGTAATAAGAAGTTTGCTCTCATGGAAAAGCTCGCGCGAAATGACCCTGATAGTCAGGCCCCTGCTCGTCCTTTGTCGATTCCCGAAGCTGTATCATCAGCCATTTTACTCAAGTACATGTTCAATCCCGCCGAAGAAACGGAACCCAATTGGGCCACGGACCTTCGGGAAGATGTTCGCGACGAGTGTGCCCGTCATGGCAACGTGCAGCTGGTGCATGTGGACAAGGACAGCGCCGATGGAGAAGTCTACGTCTGCTTTTCTGATGAAAGTCAGGCCCAATCGGCACGAAAAAGCTTGCAAGGTCGATTCTTTGGCGGTAAGCAGATCGAAGCAAGCTTCATTCCCGTGGCCTTTGCCAAAGCCAAGGCAGGTTGGTAGTGCACATAGGTGGCCATGGATCTTCATTCACGTGATGAGACCCACCTCCGTCGGAGTGGAGGAACGCGGCATCCACGCGAACGACAGTATGTTATGCAGGCGCCCAGCGCGGCGGAGGATCCTGTGGTAACGCGTCCATCTCAGTGGGTTTGCACGATAGATGGATGCGAAAAAGTTTATACGAAGGAATCGCGTTTAATTGAGCACCAGCGCGCTCACACCGGTGAGGTATGTTGATTGACATTCATGCAGCCTAGCGCCCGTTCGCGTGCCCCCACCCTGGATGCAGCGCTACCTACATGCGCGCCACTCACTTGGCTGCTCACATGCGCTCACACATGGATGAATCAGACAAGCCTTTTGTATGCACGCATTCAAACTGTGGAAAAAGGTTTTGGACAAATCAACATCTTCGTCGCCACATTGTCTCGTGTCACACTCCGTCGCAGGATAGTATCCCTTCGATTTCCGCCTTGGATGCCAAAGATGCACTAGGCGACCCTTCGCTTTCAGGTCTCTACAAATGTACTCATGGCGGATGCGATCGGCTCTTTTCCAAGCGTAAACATTTGCGACAACATGTGCGAGAAGCGCATGCCGACTTTCAATCGGGAGAGCTCCCATATGCTTGTGAGCATGAAGGGTGCGATAAGAGATTTGCTACCTATTCCAAGAGACAACGCCACATGCGTGTGCACGAAAAGGGGAGATACCAATGTATTTTGCCGCATCCATCCGCGCCACCGCCAGGCCATCCACCCTATACCGTGGATGACGCTCTACAGGCATGGTCTTTCTCAACATGGACCCACTTGCAGCGGCATATGCATTTATGTCATCCGCCTACGTGCCATCAATGTGGTCAAGTTTTTGCGAACCGCGAGAATCTCAGGCGGCACCAGAAAATACATACAGAGCCCCTGTCGTCGGAGTGGGAATGTCCATGGAACGGATGCGATAAAGTGTTCAAGTCACAGTATGCATTAAAAGTACATGTTTCTCGAGTACATGAAGGACTAAAGCCATTCCTATGTGAAATATGTGGGAAACGATTCGGCTACAAACACCTATTGGAACGACACCAACACCTTCATGAACCGCGAAACGCTTCTGATGCTGCCCCGTCTCCAGAATCAGAGGATCCAAAAGAATCTCATCCACACCTTTCGAATTTATTGGGCTCTTCTCGCAAACGAGCCCATCGAGAACGTGTGCTTCCGTGTCCTTGGCTTCTACTTGGCGGGCAAGATGCAGGCAGTGTGCAGGAGCTCGAGGCATGTCCGCGAAAGTTTGCCAGGCTCTATGATGTGCGCCGGCATCTGTCCAGCGTCCATGGTCTTCATGTGACAGACACAGAGTTAAAGACGTGCATGCCTGAAGCAGCGCTGGCGCTCTTGCCTTCGCCACGGGGTGTGAAGAGAGCCCGACAAGATGAATAATTTGTACTATTATACAGGGGTATATATACCTAAGCCTTCCTGATGAAGTCGTTCTTGTAATACATCTTGCTCGGCTTGTAAGAAATGGATGCGACAAGATAAAAAGGTCAGCTCGATTTGGGTTCGCCGTAGCGCTTGCGAGAGCGATGTGCTGGCATCCTTGAGATTGACCCGCGTGGAGCGTTGCATGGGCGTCAAAATACCCATGTGCATAATGGTATGGACTTGCCGTTGGTGTTCTTCCATGAGGGTCTGATGCCGTTGTCGATGCGACGCCAGGTACATACTGATGGAGAGAACAGATTGAGCGAGTGCCAGGGATGTTGCTTGCATACATTCCATGTACATATTTCCAGGCTGGAAAGCATGACCAGTTTGGGCACCTGTCCTTAAGGGACCCAAAACAGTGATGGGCGTAGATCGCATTTGAATAGAAATACCCGTGGGTATCAACAATGCATCGTCCCATACCAATGCGCAGCTGCCGAGACTAGCAATATAGTTCATTCGGTTCGACCAGGCATCCACCTCTTCGAAAGGCACTTGGATCAAATACCATTGTTCATTCACACGTAGGCGCAAAATCCCATCCTTTTGTGTTTTATCATATACACAAAGTGCTTGAGACAAAGGCGTGATCTCATCCACTCTCATGCTAAGTGGTTGAGATGTTTGGCCCATAGACTGGATGGATATGATGTCCTCCTGATTCTTACACCAGAGTATAGCAGAACCGGTAACCATCATTCCCCATGGTTTCCACTTGGTACCGAGACTTCGCTTATCGCCCTCAGGAGAATCACAACGTTTCACGACACTAGCACCCACCAGACGTATTAGGAGAGGCACTGTGTCCAACTGGTTGGAAGACATGGCCCATTTCCTCGACAACTTAGTCCTAGGCTGATATTCCAGCAAGGGCGCATGCATGATCTCGTTATGAAGGGCCTGCGGCGCTGTCTGCCTCCCTGCAAAAGTAAAGGGGAGATGGACGCGCTCTTTTACAATGTTAGGATCTTGCTGTAGATGCAAAACGTTTCCATGAGCAAGGAGCTTGTAAAGTGCGTCCTGCTCTCGAGTAACGCTTAGCGGAGTAGTGCCTCGAACATAAGCAAACTCAACCAGGGACGTGTTATCATACAAGTATTCCAGAATGGCAGGGTGCACATGGCTTGCCTCCGTCATACTAACAAATTCCGCTTTGGAAATGCGGGGACGAACGCTCTTGTGGAATACATCTGTGTGTAATAGCAGCAGCGAAAAGGCCAACAAGTATGCACTCTCTTCATCAAGAATATCAGGATTGCATGCATGGTACCTTCGGGAAAATGCCACCAACACACGATCTACCTGTTGAGATTCCAAAGGCAGATGTTCCAAAGATAAAAATTGGCGAAGTGCCATATCAATAGGGTACTTTTCAAAGTGAAAGCGCTCCAGGTAGCAGTTTAATGCTTCTTGCAGGAGTGATGAACCATTGGATGATAATAGGCGCGTTGTCTGGCCTTCATATTCCTCATTTTGTTTCGTATATTGGTATAATCGCTTGCTGAGCTGTTGTGCGGATTCTGAGGGTGAGACAGCAAAAGGCAGGCCACTTGTATCCGATGTGTGGGCATCTCCCACACTGCCTGCAGAAGAGGGACACTCGTCCGTAGGAGCAGGCAAGTTGGTCTCATCCTTATCCCCATACATGCATAGGCATTCTTGAACACTCTCAGGCATCTCCAGTACAGGGCTGAAGAGTTGGGTTTGAGGTGCCATATCCTGTTCAACCAAAAACATGGACGCATTTTCCCATTCTTCCAAGGATTGATCTGCCGATAGGCTAGGTATTATATCCGGTGCAGAAAGACGTCCACGTCTATCTATGTTTGTCGAGTTAGCGGCAAGCTGCATCGCTGTTGCCACGCAACGAACCCCTGCGGGAAGGTTCGAA